GGGCAGTGGTGGGGTCATTATCCCTGGAAGAGTTCCAAAAGCGTGAGGGTGTGGCACTTGAGGACATGGTTTAGTGGGGAAAGGATGGTGGTTGGCAGTTGATTTTGATGATCTTAAAAGTCTTTTCCAACCTTAACAACTCTGTGATTCTATGATTCCACTGCTCTGGGGATGAATTGTTCAGACCTTTTCTATTTTCTCTTCCTTCCAGCCCCTCTTGCCCTCTCCTCCTAAGGAACATGAATGAAAACCGAAATTCCTGTTGCTCTGGGAGAGTTTTTTTTGCGCTGAGAGGGAATTTTTTACTCCAGAGTTTGGCTGCAGCTGCATTTTGCTGTGTGGCCCACAGTGAGCTGGTGATTTGGGCTGGCAGGGAGGAGGTGGCTGACAGAAAATTCCCACAGAATGCAAACCTACTGAACAAACATTCCCTGCCCCTCAGCATCCCTGTGCTGGCACTGCCCAAGCAAGAGCCACGAGCAGTGTCCCAGTCACCACCAGTTGGCTCAAACCCAGCGAGTTTGTCCTCACTCTTGTGTCTGGGGATGGCTCTGCTGCTCCCAAGTGATGGGAGACACGGTCAGAGGGCAGAAATGCTCAGAAAGACAGAAATGAAGCAGGAATTTCAATTCAAAGCTAATGGATGGCGTTTGGAGGCTGCTATTAGCAGAAATTATCACTGTGTTAATGTACTCCAGGCAGCATTTTTTACAGTTGAATATGGTGTTATTTTCCTAGTTATCCATTCCCTGACAAGTGGTTATAATCAAAGCTGTCTGTGAGCACTATTATCAGAAACTTACTATTATGTGCTAGAGGGAAAAATATCACAGGACGCTGCAGTGCCAGAAAACTATTGTAGGATTTAAAGATCTACTGCAACACCAAGTATTTATTTATGTACTACTTTTACCTCCTGTGGAAGAAAATAATTTTAACTTAATTTTCTTGTCTCCCCCAGCTACTTTAGAAAATGCACCTCCCAAAATAAGTCCATAATTATGATTAACAACCCGGGCTAGATCCTCAGTTGCTGTAAATTAGCATTCCCCCATTCCTTGCAGTGGAGCAAAGCCAATTTCTTGCAACAGAGAAAGCTTCCCGTGCCCTTGGCGTGCTACCTTACATCTTTCTGGGTGTTAACAAACCTTCTTTAATGTAGCATTGTACAGAATTTGCTCTGGCCAGAAAAAACTTTAAAAAAAAAAAAAGGATAAATCTGGAATCACGGTCCTAAAAGACTTTAAATTTAACTCGTAAACAAAATGAATCCTTTCAATATACTCTGTTGATGAATTAAATCAATGAAACTGCTATTGCTCTGTCATGTGATCTAGCTTCAGAGAACAACTTTATTTTCTTCTCAATTTTCAGGTTTGCCATATACTTAATAATATTACTGTAATTCTGGCACAGCTCTGTGAAGGAAGGAGCTCCAGTGAGACAGCACAGAAAGGAAGTAATTAGCAAAAAATGTTTATATCTATATAGTCGACTACAAAACATGAAGGAAAAAATCCCCTGCCATAGGGATTGTGAGGTTTAAGGATATGAACAGGCAATGAAAAATTCTGCACTTTTCATTGAATAAATCCTCAATAATGATCAGATTAATGTGAGCATCTGAGTAATCATTTCTGAAAACATTCTCTGTTTTGGACTGCTCTGCCGCACTCTTCATTCAGTCAGTGCTGATGAAAATGACAGTCCAAGGCTAAGATTAGTGAAGAAATCCAGAATTTCTGAGAATACACTGATAGATACTGTACTGAGACAGGTACTATCCCTGCAACTCGCTCTTCCCAGACCTTCCTCCTCAGCTTCCCCTCTTTTTCATCTTACACCTGGGAATTGAACAGAGTCCAAAAAGGGTTTTGGAACAATCCTAAATCAGGGATACTGTGAAGACAAATGGTAAATGTCTGTTACCCCAGCTGCTAAGTTAATTACTGTAATGGGAAACATCTTGACAGAAGCATTGCATATGGTTATTAGCAATTAACCCACCACTCCAAAAATCACAATTCTGCTAATAACAGAACAGAGCTCAGCCTTCCTAATTACAATCTCTGCACGAAAATTTCTTTATATCAGAAGGGACTGTTAAATCCTGTAACTAGCTACAATTTAAAAAGACTGGCAATGGAGGTACTGAGAATTAGACAGAAAAATGAAAATAGAACAGGATGGTGTGACACTGACTCAAAGTTTTGGGCAACACTCGTTCATGCTTGGGGATACACAACAACTGTCACAGCCTGTTTGTAGGAAATTATACATCAAAATTAAAATGCTAATGAGGGGGAAAATATGCTTTAAAGTGGAGAGGATGGGATGGAACATTGTGAGAGATACCAAATCTTTTATAGAATTCACGATCTGGACAGTGCTGTAAATAACGTGCTGAATTTGGATTGCACTGGAATCTGACAGAACAATTTTCTGATCAACAAGGAAGGACAATAATGCAGTTTCCATCCCTTAGGAAGTCCTTCAGTATGATATGGAGGGCCCAAGATGTTTTTTTTCCCTAACCACTTGTACTCTATACAATTGCATCCCATCATAACTGCACAAAGCCACCAAGGGGAATTGGCACTTTACCTGCTCAGTTCAAAAGCTGGTTTAGCTGAGCAAGATGCAATTTAATTTACTCCTTTTCCCAGTCAGGAAGGGAGCTCTGGTCAGCATGTCCAGTGACTGCTTAGGTGGTGGCCAGGGTGTTGTTTGTAGATGCCGAGGTCAAACATGCAGAACTTACAGCAAATAAATTTCAGGACAGCAGGAACGTGCCTGGTTGGTCATAGCAAGGATGTGGAACACAAAGAATTCAGTAGTGCTGTTTCCAGTGCCCTTCTTACCAGAGCCCAGAATAAATGAGTCAGCTTCTACCTCTGTGTCAGGTCTGAAAGTTTAACTGACTCGGGATCCCAGCAGATCAATTATCTCAGGAGGCTTTGAAACTCCTTCCACCAATGCTGCAGCTCTACCCATGGGAATCATCCCCTTAAAGTCAACAGCTCTGCAGGATATTCTCAATTAAAATACAGCAGAGGAGAAAACATCAGATAATATTTGTAAGAAGAACACATTGCACTGGCTGGGTTGGCTTTGGAGTTCAGGACAATGTCGAGGTCACAGCAGCTGAAGCCTCCTGCCCAGAAGGCAGGGATTTTTTACTCCAGACTTTGGCTGCAGCTGCATCTTGCTGTGTGGCCCCCAGGCAAAAGTCTCATCTATTAAGTGGCCTTCACTCTGCATTTCAGTACCTCCCAGTTTGCATGTTGCTGGTCCATTATTCTGAACAACTGGGTATAATAAATGTTGTGCATAATTTGTAATGATCACGTACAGCTTTGAAGAACAACGCTGAATAGTTTAAGTTCCTTAAGATGGAAAAAATTAAAGTATTTTTTAAAGACTAATTTACCTCTCCTGGAAAAAACCCCAACAACTGAGGATCCATTTTGCCATGATGTGATCCTGAAAATAATCTAGGTTGGGATGACATCACAGGATATAATGAAGACTCAGCCTCGACATAATGAATGTCTATTATTTTATGAAGAAAGATTTTCTGGGGTTTAAGAAATAAAATGATTAAAAACTATGTGCTCTGCGGGAGGTAGTGAGATTAGCTCAACACAAGGTCCTGTGGAGTTAAAACTACTCCAGACACAAGAAAGACTGAGCCGTTCATTGGAAATTTCAGGGTACAATTATTCTGCTCTAAGGCCAGATAAGGGCTGTCTGTTTTCTTCCCCCTGAAAAAGTTGATAAAATCTCAAAGGGATCATGTCCATGCAAGCTTCAAAGCAATGAACAATATAAAACCAGTCTTCTTGTTATGAATGGCAAATGTTTACCTACTTCAGCAAAGGCCTTGGAAAATAAAAACCATACAGGAAACCACTTGTAAAGCGTGTGTAAAATGAGAAGTGGGTGTATCACGTTACAGGGCTGGAAGGGAGACAGATTAATGCTCTGTAAAACAGAGGCTGACTCCTGACTGGTGAGGATGCTGGGGTAGCCATCCAGTTGTGTCTGTCACAGATTTGTGCAGGAGCTACCTTGGAGCAAGTGGAGACCAAGCCCATTCCATGGCAGTGGAAAGGAATCCCAGATTTTAGCTCTGGTTGGCTCAGGGCCCATCTGCTGTTCACAGCCCAGTGCCTGGTTAGTCACAGCACTCTGGAGGGAGGGAAACCGTGGTGTAATGGACCCGGAGATCTGCACTGGATCATAAAATGCTTAACGTGTGCTCTACACATTTTTTTTGTTTGCTACTATGCACAGCTCCCTTTCCAGGTCAGCTGGTCTCCCCTCTCTCAGCAGTAAAGGGGAAAGAGTTGTCTTTTGACAGCATTAAAGGTCTGGAGAGATCATAAAGATGAGAGGATGGTCTAGGGGATGGCAAGCAGCTCTGGGACTTAAAAAAACACTCCTCAGTTCCCAGTTTTATGTTCTTGCTGTCACTAACTCTCAGCAGCAGCGGTGTTATCCCTCCCTCGAGATGTTAAATGCGTTTATTTTCACGGTTACCTCTCGGAAGTGCTCAGATATGATTGCAGTGGGCATCCTGTACTGAACAAAGAAGGACCAGAGGAAATAAAGAGCAGCCGAGATACGTCTCTGTCAGCGCAGCAGAACGCGCTCGGCATCCCGGCAGCGCAGGGAGAGCGGGGCGGCGGGGCTGGAGCTGTCCCTGCAGGACATTGAGAGCAGCCCCTGCTCATCTCCTCCGCTTATCTCCTCCGCCAGCTGCTCCCAGCGGGGATGCGGAGCAGGACAAGCTCCCTTTGCAGGCGGGATTCCAGCGCTATTCCCGAGGGGAGCTCCCGGGACACGGCCCGGCCGGGGCGGGGATGGGGCCGGGCCGGGACCGCCCCGCCCGTGGCGCGGCTGTGCCGCCGCTTTAAATGACTTGGGGGCTGCTGCTGCCGCTTCTGCTGCTGCTGCTGCTTCAGCCGCCGCTCCATCCTGCCTCCCCCGGCAGCGCCATGCGAGCCGGGCCGGCGCTGCTGTCCGTGCTGCTGTCCGTGCTGCTGTCCGTGCTGCTGTCCGTCCTGCTGTCCGTGCTGCTGTCCGTCCAGCCGGGCTGCGCTCTGGCCGCCGAGCCGCGGCTGCAGCGGGGCATGTGAGTGAGTGTGCGGGGCATGGGAGTGAGTGTGCGGGGCATGGGAGTGAGTGTGCGGGGCATGGGAGTGAGTGTGCGGGGCATGGGAGTGAGTGTGCGGGGCTCGGCGGGGACAGCAGGCCCGGACACGCCGCCCCCGGCCCTGCGGGGAGGCTCCTGCGCCCCTCGGCTCCCCAAGTTTGGGGGATGCGCTGGAACCGCGCAGCGGAGCGGGTCCCGCTCGGGCGGAGGGAGGGCTCGGCTCGGCTTTGCCGCGGGGGATGGAGGCAGCTCCCGGGGCTGCTCCTGCCTTCGCTGTCAGCCTGGGGAGCCCGGGGAGCCGAGCCCGAGCTGGGGAGAGCGGCAGGACGAGGCTGGGGATCCATGCGGGAAGGGCAGGGAGCGGCCGGGAGCGCGCACAAAGAACTCGGGGCCGCACGTGTGCGGCTGCTGCGGGAACGCGGAACTTTCTCTGGGGGCTTCTCCGTGAGCAACAAATGCCTTCTGCTCCAAGTGCGGCGGAACGCTTGTGTCCGGAGGTAGTTTTCTGGTCAGATTCTAAAAGAGAGTAGCTGGATGCACGCACGAAATCTGTGGTTAAAGTTTTTTGCGTGTTGAAAATGAATGTTGCTGGAAACTGTTTCCTGCCTTGTGTATCTTTCTTGTCTTGTGTTTTAAGGAATGTTGCGCCGCCCTGGTTCCCCCTCTCAAAGCAACCTGACAATAGCCTTTTCAAATGGCTGTATACACTAATTTCTAACCACTCTGATCTTCCTGGGTTTTATCTTCATCAACTTCATCCCACTCTTTCATAATGTCTTGTATTTGCTTTCAGTTTAGTTCTTTATTCTGTCTGAAAATTGAGATTTCCCAGCCTATTGCTCACTGCCTTTCTATGCAATCCACATTTACACGATATTTACCAGAAGTGCTTTTAAGGTGGTTTGTATTACTCCATTTTGCTGGAGCACGAAGTATCTATCACAGTGCTTAGAGAAGTTAAGCTCATTCTGTGGTAAAACATTTTCCTTTGTTAAAAGTGCTCTGTGTTTCTTTCAGGCACGCTTTGTGCTCTCTTTCTGAGCAATTACTCTATCAGGAGGAGGAATAGCATCGGCCTACATTAATCTGTTTGCATTTGACATCAGTAATAACTATGATTCTGCACTTTTGAAGCTGGAGGTGTTGTGAACTGTGAATCGCCTCCAAACAATTTTTGTTTGCTTTCACCTTTTCAAAGACTGTGTCACTGAAAGAATAGAGGAAACATTCCCTTCTGGAAATGATGCTGTGTGAGGATGCTGCTGCTGGGCTGGAGTCTCTGGGAGCAGCAGTGCACTGTCAGCCAGCAGCAATCCAGAACAGCTGCCCAAACCCCAGACCTGTGTCAGAGCCTTGAGTGCTTTTCCCAGGAGTTATATTCCTGAAATTACTGCCATTCTTCCTGCTTTTCCCAGGCTGGGGCAAGCATTAGTATTACTCCAAACTTTCTTGCTATTTAGGGACTTTACCTTTGCTGTAAACAGAAATGTAAGATGTCACCAGCCTTAGGAGTGAGTCTGCCACCTTTCACCAAGAATCAGTGAAATGTCCAGGAGGATTCTTTGCATCAGTGACCTTTTTCTAACAATTCTGGTTTGTTCTTTTGATGTTGGTCATCTGCAGTCAGTGAAATCAGAACAGCAAATGCATCCCTTGGAACATACCATGCTGAGTGTGGTGTTTGCTGTTGTTTTGATTGAGATCTTGTGTGGCTGAGGCTATACAGGATTTCTTCATAATTGTTTTCATCCTGTTGCTAACTTGAGCATTTGCTCCCAGCTAGAAATGTCAGGGTTCTGTGTGGATGTTGGTGTTCTACTTCCAAGCCCCCTGAGGAGATTTAATGTAGAACAGATTACAGAATGAGGAGATACTTCTATCAACTGCTTTTCCATACAATTAGCCCTGGATGATCCTCTAATAGAACTTCAGAGAGCTCTGGAATGACCAGAGAACAGATATGCCATTTTCATTGTAAAGCATGTTTGGCCTTTAAATGAGGAATTAACCATGTCTCGTGATAAAAAGCACATTTTTAACACTTTCTGGTGAGCTCTCTAGCCCAAAACTGGGGTGTGTGAGACTGTGTGTGATGTGTGGTTATCTACTTCACAGAAATCGGGGGTGCTCCTGGGACAGTGCAGAAATGCGAGCTAAGAGGACTTGATTTGCTGTCAGAAGTGGTAAATCCTCTCCTAGAGAGACACTCCCCTGGGAGTTTGAGCAGTTCAGATGTCTGCTCCTAGTTAGGGATGTAGGACAGAGCAGAGGCAGGAGAGTTCTGAGCTATGTGCTGGGAATCCCTTTAGTGCAATAAATATCAGAGTTAGGACTGGGACAGGGCTCAAGAATGGATTCTTCTGTTCCCAGATGAGACGAGTGAGGACTCCTTTGAAAAATCCAGGAGATAAGCTTTGTTCCTGTCAGCATGAAGCCCCTTGACTGGCTCTGTGGATTTGCAGGTCCAGGATGACATCTAAAAGGGCTGGTTTGCTTTTAGAGGATCCAATCTTGCAATAAAACTGTTTTGCTTAGGGTTTTTCTTCGCTGCTCACATGTTGTACCTGCATATTTTCACTTTATCCATAAGCAATCTGGTCGCATTCCAAGGAACACCTGGATGTAGAGCTGGATTCCTGCCTGAGTAATTCTTTTTCCAGCTCCTTCAATTCTGTGGGGCACTATCGGCTTTCCCGTGCTCCTCCTGATAAATCACATTCCCAAAAGCAAAATCTCACATCTACATGATATCTGCATTTGCAAACCTCGAGTGAACTTGGCCCTCCAGCTGTAGCAGCTGTTGGCTGCAGTGACACTATTGTCAAGTGACACAAATAAGAATTCCTTTTAAAGTATAATTAAAAAAGGCAAAGTCCACTTTTTTTCTGGGTTTTTTTGATGGAATGTGTTTCAAGAATTGACTGCTGTTGTGCAAAGCATTTCCATATGAGGAGATGCCTCCGAGTTGTGATTGTTACAGCGGAACAAATTGCATGTCAATTTGAATATTTGGTATGCAGTGCAGAAAACAAAATGAGAAATGCTTCTATAAAGTATCTGGAGATGCAACTTAAACCTGGAGCCTGTAATTTTGTTATAATACTGTCCAAATGATGTGAAAAGTAGATTATGTAATCATTTCTTGGTGAGAAATTGTCTCAGTGTATTGGCTGTTTAGCCAATATACTTTATTTTCTCCTCCAGTGATGTCAATTTGTAGGTGTGAGGAAAGGTTGTCTTCCTAGCATTAAATAAGGGCTTAAAGTACATTTACTTTTTTGAGCTGAGCTGAATAATGTAGTGGAATCTCCTTCCATTTCTTTGAATGGGTTATCTCCCACTTGGAGGTTTTGCAGTTTAAAAAATTTGCAGGTTTTTCTGGTGAAAATAAAGACCTGGTTTGCTAGTGGTGCATTTAAATTTCTACCATATTTAATTTTGTATTAAATTTGTACATCAAGTGAGATTAAGTGGTTCTCTTTAAACCTTGGTTGAAACGACGCTGGCAACTGAGTCATTGACAAATTTTGATATAGGCTACTGAATTTTACCTGACTTGTTTTCAGCTGAAACCTCAAACCCTTCTTCCCATTCCTGTCTGCCCAGAATCCATGGGGTTACAGTGAACCCTCACTACCCCTGAACAGCAGCTACTCCAACCTTTGAGGCTTGGGTAATGTGATTTTAGTAAGCGTGGTTTAAATGCTTTGGCATAAAAGTTTATGGCGGTTTCATCCCCTCATTTCCCCATCCCTGCCCCCTCCCAATCCTGTAATTTGCAGTTGAGGACTGAGATGTTTCTCATCTTTGTGAACATCACACTGAATAAAAAGTCTTTTTAGCCTGTGCACTACAGGATGTTGCCACCAGATAGAGCTCACGCTGGTCAGCGTTACAGCACAGAATCCCATTTCTCAAGACTTTGCACCTAAAGCTTCTGTTTCACAGTTCCTAGAGGAATATTAATTTTGAATTTAGTCTTTTAACAGGTGGCAAAGCGCTCTTTTCCTCTTTTTCTGCCCCAGTATGTTCACTACCAGGAGACTTAAAGATAATGAATGAGTGTCGTGGTGGTACTGTACTTTTCCTGATTTATGACGTTTTTCTGCTCTTCAGGAGAAAAATGAGATCAAGCCTTTCTTCTAAACCCTGAAATAGCTGTATGATAGGATAATAAAATCTGATAGCCTGAAGTTGTTATATTTATCAAAGATGAACTTGAACTGTAAATATTTTCCAGTTTTAGAAATTCCTGGGTCTGTATCAGAGACATCATGAAATGGTTCTAAATCTCACAAGAGGTTTAGAAATTTCCTGCTCATAGTCACAGTAGCTTACACATACTCTATGATTCTTAAATCTGCACATTTAAGGTAAGAAGTTGAATGCCCCTTCACTTTTAATGGGATTTGACTTCTCACATTACTCTCCAAAAATACACTCTGAGAGGAAAAAAACTTGTCAGGTTTCTTCAGGTGTAATTGTTATGGAATATTGCTATAGTTTAGTTATTTATGCAATAGTTTAATGTGCTTGAAATGTGTTTTTGCAGTATTTCTTGGGAAAATTGCCTGGCTTTTACTTTGGCTTTTCTTCTGCATTGATTATACCCAGCATTGGCTGTTTTTCCTAGTGCCAGGCATGCCATGATCTGGGTATGACTGACTGTAGAATATTTTTAATAAATTTGAAGGAACCCCCTGGTGAGGAGAATGAATGAGATTATCTGTGGTGGCAGACCTGGTCTCAAGGTGACTTTTTAGCAGAACTTTGATGGAAGTGATGCTTTGGCTCCCAGAGGGTTAACAGCCCATATTGCAGACTCCTGTTATTTCACCAATTAAATACCTTCTCTCTTTGAACACAGTTAATAGATTTCCTTCCTCTGAAATTCAAGCCTGTTATTGCTTACGTTCCCTCTCAAATCTATTGCTTTTAATTTATTTCTGAGGAGAAAGAAATTTCCTTTCATTACTGCA